CAGGCGAATTATTACAGTTCCCCATGAATTGATGTTCACAAGTAAGAAATAATTCATATCGTTTGATCTTTCGCCGCTGTCTTGAGTTCTTCCTTTCCGGGCGATATCAGAAAATCACGGAGAAGGTCGGGTACATCTTGTTTGAGTTGTAACAACGGTTCCCAGGTCTGATCTACCTCATCAGGTAACCCGGCCCATTGAACGAGAATATCGATCCCATTTGCGCCTCTTCGGATGTCTACCAATGTTTCAACGTTCTGATAAGTGGTCTCAGAATGGGTTGCGTATTCGAGAAGTGCAGGACTGATTTTCCGATCTTCTCGGTCAGCACGGTACCACATGAGTCTGCGAGCATGAACAGTTTCCTTCTTGCGTTCAAGAAGATCTTCTACGTCGTATACCCACGGACTCAGGATCTTAACAATCCTTCGTGGACCTCTCCATACAAACCCCAGCTTATGTCCTTTTCTTTGCGCTCGACGGACCAGAACCATGTCACCCAAGTGGAAATTAGCTGGTACGACATTGGTCTTTGCGTTGTGTTTGAGTATTTGACGAGCTCTCGTTGCGTCAGTACGTTGCTTTACGTCCTTGTGCATGTTTGACAAGGATATCTGCAGTTTGTCAATGTTGAGTATTTGGCGCAGTTTTATCTCGTCATCTGACACAGCACTCTTGTATGTGACAACGGGCAGCGCACGCATGAGAGGGCGACAGGGCTTAATTCCAGTGAAGACTTCTAGTGGTGTTCTGTAGACCCCAGCACAGCGTGTCCCAAGTCTTTTTAGAGGTGAGTGATTGAGAATAGCTTGTACGCAGTCTACGACAGCCGGCCAATCTTGCGGGGCAAGATGCCACTCTGAAAGCAATGCCTTACATGACCGCAGTACCTCGCGGCATACTCGCTCTACCGTACCATTTGCCCATGGGCTGTAGGCAGTAGTGAAGTGACGTCGGACCTTATACTTGCGGAACATCTCCTCGTTCAGCTCATTCAGAAAGTGCGATCCCTGATCGCTAACCAACCAGTCCATAGTACTGAAAGATGCAATCCACTTGGAAAGGGCTAGCGCAGTGACTTCTGCGTTAGCAGCATCAGCAGGATGCAGCCAAACAAAAGACGAAATGTCATCCCTGATTATCAGTATATACTTCATACCCTCAAAACCAGCACCCATGTATAAAAAATCCATGTGCACTACTTCATTGGGTTTTGAGCCATGAAGTGCGGTACCTAGCGGCCTAGGAACGCTTTCTCCGCTACGCGTTACAATACAATGGATGCAGGATTGAACAAACTCCTCGATATCATTCGACATTTCCTTCCAGTAGAAGTTCTCTCTGATGATGCTCTCCGTCGCCTTTTTTCCGGGGTGTCCTCCCAGACTACAGTGTGAAATTACCAAGACCTTCATGTGCAGCCTTAGATCAAGTCTCGGAATCCAAATGCAACCTCTTCTCTTCCAGAGCTTTTCTTCATCATTCCAGGCAATCCCTTCATCTGCAGGCGCAGGGCAATGTTTGTTCTGTGATTTTCGAAAGACTTCCATCGAAGGCCAAATGTATTCCTCTGTGGCAGGCGAGTCAACTATCCCTTCAATTCTCGAAAGTTTTGCCAATTTGCGGAGTGAACGCTTCTCCGATCGGTAGCCTTTCAGCCACCGAGTGAGAACGTCCGCGAATACATTCTTCTCCCCATCCACATGCTCAATTACATATGTGAATCTCGACAGATACAGCGCCCAGCGCTGTGCTTTACACACAATGTGACGCCCTAAAGCTGGCTCGAGAGCCACTGGGGCAAATATGAATAGGAGGTTCCGGTGATCAGTGAACACGTGGGTGGGCTGATCGTCATAGAAAAGATAGTCAAGTTTCTTGAACACTTGGTAAATAGCGAAAGCCTCTTGCTCGAATGTGCTCCAATTTATTTCTGCCTTTTTGAACTGTGCCCCAAGGAATGCTAAAGGTTCATGCATCTGTTCTTCCACCGGTTTTTGTAACTCTCCAGGATCCGTCTGTGTTACCACCGCCGACCAGAATTGGTTTGAGGCGTCAGTATAGACACAAATCTTCTTGCCCTTCTTTGGGAAGGAAATCAGAACAGCATTTCTAATTGTGTCTTGTAGACTTCTGAAGGCTTGTTCCTGTTTGTTCCCCCAGGACAGAGTTTGAAGTGCAATGTTTTGAATCGATCGCTTCGTTCGCCGTCCAGTACGTGTGTAAGCTTCTTCGAGGACTTCTGTTAGCGGAACGGATCGTTCAGCAAATTGGGGTATGGAGTTTGACATCCACCTGAGACAGTGCACAAACTGGCACAGTTCCCCCGCGGTATGTGGCATATCAAGTTCCTGCAAGGCTGAAACTCTTGTTGGATCCATCTTGACACCACTTTTCGATATGATCCTGCCACACCATCTGACTGCTTTTGTGAAGAACACACTCTTCTTTGCCGAAAGAAACAGTCCATACTTTCGACAAGTTAAAAAAAACTGCAACAGGAGTTGCAGTAGATGATCTTCTCCCCGGGAATGGATAATAAAATCGTCCAACCAGGCTTTGAGATTTTCCCGCATCTGATGGAATAACGGTTCAACTTTGCTCTGAAAGTTTGCCACTGAGTTTACAGCCCCTTGCTGGGTCCTCGTTGGTGAGTATATACCCTTGGGTGTGACCATACTGTGTGCGGCTTGGGAATTTGCGTCCAAGGGCAGCTGCCAGTATCCACTGACAAAGTCAACAGTAGCAAAGCAATCACTGTTTCGAAAGTCCACAACTTCCGAATCAATGTGCGGCATTGGCCAGGAAATGGGTTCCGTAGCAGCATTCACTGCTCTGAGGTCGACAGTCATGCGAAACCTCGCTCTGGAGTCCTTCGGTACGAGAAGCGGGGCTGCTGCCCAGGTAGCTGCATGGTTCTTGCGTACAAATCCCATTTTTTCGAGGGTGTCAATGTACCTGTTCAGAAAGTCGCGTTGGTCTGCCTTGTAGCGCCTAGTTTTAGCTATGACTGGTCGTGCTCCAAGCTTCAGTTTGACTTTCATGGGCTCTACCCTTGCTGGCGGTGATCTACCCAAACGAACACGAAAAATGTCTTGAAACTCAAAAACCAGGTCACGTAGTTGCTTCGCACCCTTCTCAGAGAGTCCGTTCTCCTGAGCTTCCTTGATCTTTGCTGATAGAGCATTCTGCACTTCCTCCTTTGTGTCTTCACCGAGATCAATATAAATGTCGTCATCGTCGGCGAATCCGTCATCTCCGTTTTGACTATGGAATATGCCGTCATCTCGCATGATCTTGGCAAGTGTTCCATTCTTCAAATCTTTACCCTTTGTAAGGATGTCTGGTACATTTACAATACCGTTGTGTTTGTCAGATGCGGCTTCAAGAATTGTCTTTGTGTCTAGGCCGAGCCCTTCCAAGACGGGACGTCCAATTAGGACATGTTCCGCTGGCTGGTCACTTACAGCCCACTCCACATTTCGGAGCAGCAAAGAAGCTCCATGTCGGATGCGCAACTCCACATCCGCTTTCACAGTCTTACAGCATGTGACTTTGGCGGTCCCTTTACTAGCTTGGGCCTGAACGGCCAGGGAGTACACGATTGGCTTGTCAAGTTGAGTGACAACTACGTGTGGGTTGCAAGCTTTCAGCTTGTCGAAGATATCAGGCGGCATCAGGTTGTCGTCAGAGCAGTTGTCTGCGAGTACCAAGGCGTGAATCGTTTCATTAAACTTGGCGGTAAACAAGGTTGAGTGATTGTCAATATCCTCTGCAGCCATTCGTTTCATGAACTTCGGCTTCTTCTTCCTTGCTGTATTCTGTTTGCGCCAGCTCTCAATCAACTTCTGCTTCAGAGCATCATTTCCTTTGCAAAGCGGGCAATCTTTGATGTAGTGTTCCTCGGTACAGTCAGGGTGCAGACACTTAGGAAGATGCTTGCGTTTACCCTTTTGGTACTGTGACGAGTCCCCAAACTTACCCTTGCCATATTCGATGGCTCCATCGCTCCTTCCAGTTTGGCTCCTTTGCATTTGACTCTTCCCTTTCGGTTTCTTATCTCGCTCATGAGAATGATTTCGTCGGTTGCTTGTTTTTTCGACAACATCCGCCAAACGGACAAGCTCGGATATGAAATAGCGAAAGTTCTTGCTACGCAGGCGTTTCGCATCCTGCTTCTCAAATTCGTCCTCAATCAAGTCTTTCAGCAGTTGTGGCTTGAGACGATCGAAGATATGGCCAATGGCGAGCTTTGGGCACTCGTGTGGGAAGTTTGAATATCCTGAAGCTTCGAGTGCTCGCTTGTAGTCCAGAAGTAGCGTATCGATACGTGCCTCAGCACCGGGAACAAACATTTTTATCTGAACGTTTTTGATACTCCGTTCCACATCAGACAACTCAATTTCTCCTGGCGGACGTTCACACTTGGCATTTACGCACTTCACAAGTTCATCTTCGGTAATGTCTTGGACACTAGGGCTATCGATGTAACCACGCTCTACGAACAACTCGAGCACATTGTGGTCCACGGTCGTCAGGTAGGAGGACAACTGTATATCCACACCGGGGTCACGATTCTTTTCCGCAACTTCCCTTTCGTAGTTCTCACGTGCCTTCCTAAAATTGATAAAGTCAAGCAGCGTGACGCACGTGAGTCTTGGGGCCTTTATAGTATCAACAATCGTTTGATTTTTCACAGGACCCCTCGTCGGAGACGGCTCATCTTCCAAAAGCGTCGAAGCCTCAATACGATGCTGAGACATCGTGCTTCTCTCAAAGTTTGATCCACAAATCTTCTTCGCGAAAGATATATCTGTAGCAACTTGTGGGGAAAAACAGAAAGAGAAGGTACCTCGCACAGACGGATAGACGCTCCCGTTGTCCGATGCCTTTATTTCCCTGGAGGCTACACAGCGCTCCGGGATTTATAGACCTCCATTACGAGGTACCCGCGCTACGAGCACACGCCTGAAAGGTCGTGCAGCGCTTAACATGAGCAATTAGGCATGAAGACGAAGAATTACATAGTTCCAATTTTCCCTTAGGTCATGACGGGCACTGCAATTAACTCTTCCAATTGTTATCCCGTACAAAGGTTGGATGCTATCAGCAAAAGACAGTAACACCTTCTGTGGCCTCTGTACAGTCGTAAGCGGTGTACGACTGTGCACAACTGTGTAACATCTAATTAATGCTCACGCACAAATTATGGTCCGAAGGGTCATCGATATCCATATCGATATGTACAGAAACGTGTACCACTTCCTTGAGTTGAATCTTCCAGGCGAATGATTACATATCTCACAACCGAAGCAACGCAGATTGCCGACATGTGGGACTTTGCCAGTCAGTATCTCTATAGGGGTGCGCCCTTCATTAGTTTGACCAGCTGTGACATTGCGAATAGATTTGGCTGTGCATACGGCCTCTCCCCAGAATTTATCTGGTAGACCAGCATGTGATAGCATGGAACGTGCCATTTCCATCAAAGTGCGATTGAGTCTCTCTGAGACACCATTTTGCTGCGGTTTATACGGTGCGGAGGACTCCCACTCTATTCCTTCTTTCTCAAGGTATTTTAACGTGCCTAGGTACTCTCCGCCATTATCAGAGTATATGAATTTGATTTGGCAGTCGTACTTCCGTTCAAATTTGGCTTGGAATGATTTGAAACATTCCAGTGCTTCCCCTTTAGTCGCTATAAGGAAAACATCCTTAAAAGAGGAGAAAGAATCACTAAACGTTATGAAGAATGACTTGCCGCCCAAACTTGGAGTCGGAAGTGGACCACACACATCAGTAAAAATCACTTCTCCCGATTTTGTCGCTGTATCCTTCCTGGCGTACAATGATAGTCGAGACTGTTTACCTTCCACACACGAACACAGGCTACATCATTCTAAGGAGTGTCTGTGAAAGATATTCCGGCCACTGCACCACGCTTTTTCATTTCTTTCAATATCCGAAGGTAAACATGACCAAACCTCCAATGCCAGAGCTCTTCTCCCACAGTGCTTCCCACTGCAATGTCTGCTGTTTCCTCTGTGACTATATATTTGAGAATATACAGACCATCTTCGAGTTGTGCAGTACAAATAAGTTCGTCTTTCATTGATATAGTGCAAAGTCCTTTACTGAATTGCGTTTCGTATCCATCTCGGTCAAGGGCCGAACAAGAAACCAGGTTGGTGTCCAGACCCGGGACGTACAGTACATTGTTGAGTCTCAGCGTCTTCCTATTGTCATCAAAACCCCCTGCGCTGATATAAACTGAGCCTTTCTGATTTGATTTGATACTGTTCCCATCACCAAGCGTGATTATTCTCGTCTGTGAATTCACAATCTTATCAAAAAGGATATGATCTGACATCATGTGGTTACTCGCACCGGAGTCAACCACGGCATACTTCTTTGAGGTTTTTCCTTCTCTAGAGAGAAGAGCCTTCTCCTTACTTCCAATGTCAAAGCTTTTCGTATTTACAGGAGCACTGTGCTCCTTTCTCGTCCAGTGCCTAGTCGTGCGTGCCCGACATTCGCGCTTGAAGTGGCCATATTTACCACATCCGTAACACTGGAGGTGAGCCTTGGTCTTTAAGGCTTTTTGGCTGATAGGTACATCGTTTTGTAGGACCCTTCCAAGATTTCTCCCGCAATTCAAAGAACTGTATTCTTGCAGCAGGCGTGCAGTTGCTTTCTCCCAAGAAAGATCCTTATCGGACATAGTCTGTAATGCTGTGATCACAGCTCCGTACGAAGAATCAGAGTTTCTCCCGAAACTAGCAAACAATATCGCTATTTGCATTGATTCGGTCACTGGACTTTCCATTACTTCTAGCTGATTAAAGATATTTTCAAAGCTGTCGACGTACTCAGACATGGTTTGAGATTTTTCTTGAAAGGACTGTTAGTAAAGCTCAGTCTGTAGCTGTACTCATGTCGCAGTGTTCTGCGTTGCATACCTCTCATGTAGCTTCTTGTACATTTGAAAGGGATTCTTCCTCTCCCCAGCCACAGTGCGCAGCGGCTTATCGCCGAGAGATTGGACCAATAAAGATTTCGCCTTCAATAACTTTGTCTTTTCATCAGGCGTCAGATCTTCTATTGCCACCCTGGCCAATTGATCGATATTCACCACTTCTAGAAGATCCCTCGACTCCAGCAAGGCTTCAAACCGCAAGGACCACAGTGTGAAGTCTTCGCCTCTCTTGGCATTGAATTTGTGAAGACGACGTGATACAAGCTCGTCATCCATCTTATCCCAGCGTAAAAGTTACGTGTACACTCTGTTGAGATCAAGTACCCCAACCCTCAATGAACGTTGGTTCCTTTTTCGCGATGCTACCACTCCTGAGACGAGAAGTGGTGTAGCTGGGGTTCTGTCTACCCTGTATTCTTTATTGGGTTGAGCGCGTTCTGCTTATATACTGTTTAGGTTTCGTGTAGCTCTACTACGGGAAAAGGGTGTTGATAGAGTTCCCATTCGGTCAATCAACTGTTCCGACGGCCACGAGGTATACGCATTTCCCATGACAATCAGGAGCAGTATGTTGCCAACCTCCTAAGGCTTGTCGCCTTCCCTTTGTCCCATTTGTAGTGAGAGCATTATTATACCAAAGCAATCATTGTTGTACTGTATACTTGCAAGAGCATTACTGCCCGCAACACGATATATTGCCATATTTGTTAGTGCCAGCTCCGATATAGTGCTTCCCTTCTGCGGGTGGCACGAATTTTGAGCCAAAAACGAAGGGTCTCCAGGGAGGCAGTTGGATGGATATGTGTACTGCCCGAGAGCCGCTGCCGCCGCGGAAAGATATTATGCAGTTGCCAACTCGAATAGAGACTATGGCGGAAAAAGGCAGGGTCGATGATGCAATTGGACATCTGCAAAAGTGTAGGTTGGCATTTATGGCTGCGAAAAAGGAGGAAGTCAATGCAACGGCTCGGCAGCTACTAATAACAGAAATGCTTGATTAGACTTGAGTTTGTAGTGAAGATACAAAGCATGAATGATGGCGTCCTGCGAGCGGTCTTTCTGAGCAGTGATGCAAGGAAGTGGCTGCAAAAAAGCCGTAAATCTCATTATCTAACAGTGCCTGGTTCGATATAGTGCCGTTTTCGGCCCACTGACACCGGGTAGCACTATATCGCGACCCCCCCTGTATCTGAATTTTCAGCCTTACGTCGCAAATGCTTACAGAAGGAGAATCACGATGAACCCGATGTTCTTTGAGCTTTTAAGCAGATCTTTAAATAGATCATCATGGTTGCCAAAACAAATGCTTTTTTCTACTTTCGAAAAGGCGTTTATTTGTCAATTATTAACACGCAATTTGGGAGAAAAGGGGCACCAAATCAGCCACATAAAATTTTGCGCAAAACCTGCGCATTGGTCGGATTTCGAAACTTTCTTCACGAAACGGTCGCTTGGAGTGTCCCTGGTCATCCCACGGAGTATCGTATTGATTGGAGTACGACAAGGGTCTCGCATTTCGACAGCAATGGTGAGTGATTTGGGGGGTCGACGGGTGTAACGGCTCTTTCGGACATCGGTAAAAATAGTCAAAAAAAAGGCCCAGTGCATCATATCCACTCTCGAAAGTATCCAGCAATGTTGGATGCATTGAGATTGCAAGAGATGCAGGACGAAGAAGCGTCATGTGCTCGTTCGTTCTCAATATCATGAGGCCGACGTTTACGGCAGCACATCCTCTTATCGTCAGCAATTGCAATTGTGAATTCGATATTCACAAGAAGTCCTTCGGTTCGGCGACTACTTTATTCAGGTCTCGTACGCTTGCCGAATCCCCCCAAACCTCTTCTCTTCACATTGACTGTGGTCAATTGGTGCGCCAATCTCAATCCCCAATGAAATGCGGACATAAGCAAGGCGTCTGTCGTGTGTGCGGTACATGCCCGCGATGCCCATCTTGCATCTGTCATGGCCCAAAATGACGCCCTGGGCGTCCGACCAAGGCCCCAAAGCGCCTTCAAAGGCTATCTGCCGGTGCTGCTGCCAAAAAAATCCGGCTGGCCTCTTCCTCAGAAAATAATTCGCCTTCATGTGATAGAGAGGATTTATCCCAAGATTATGCATCTGGTTATCATGAGATAAATCCTATTGGATTGTTGGAAGCTATAAACATTCCAAGGTGGGAGACAAAACGTTTGCCACGTGAAGATCGACGTTTATTTCCAATAAACGAGCTCAAGTTTGACGAGTTGGACAGCCTGCATACACTCATTGAGAAGATTTTGTTGTCAATTTGTTGCACTTTATTACCGTCCTTCCCGATTGAGTTATATCGGTCATTTAGGGAGCAAAATGTAGGTGATGCCTTACTGAAAGGTGCGATTGTTGAGGGCGTTAAGGCGGCAAAACCCTGTTCTGTAGAGGGGAAAACTCTAAGAGCAGTTTTATGTTCATGTTTATCTGCTAAGGAGGTTCGACGGCTGCTGTTGGGTGATAGAATTGTTGTACATATAGAAAATGAAGAAGGCATTGCAGCGTCCGTGATGGGCGAGGAACCCAATCGAGAAAACCCCGCTCCGACACTATCAGAAGAAGACCTAAACAATGTCACATTATTTTTCCAAAGCACAGTCACAGGTTCTGGCAGTACTGTCAATCAGGACAAAACTACAAGGGAGGTAAACCTAGATGGTTTGGAAGTAGCCGAAGAAGGCGATAAGCGAGCCCTCTGAGATGGATATCAGGCGCAGCATGGAGGAGTAGCGATGCAGGATTAGGTCGGCGGACGCGAGCGCGGAATCCGTGGCGTTGGCGGAGGCGGGCGCTACGTCGTGTACCGTGCGGACGGCGGGCGTGTGCGCACGTGGGCGCGCCTGCAGTCCAAGGGGACTTGGAGCGGGGTGGCGGCGGCGGTGGAGAGGAGGAGGAGGAGGGAGAGGAAGGCGACGGGGCGGAGGATCCGCGGCGGCAGCGACATGGTGGCGTTGGGGGATGGGGACGTGGTAGGAGGGGCAGAGGAGTCTTTGATGCGCACTGTCACATCCTGAGGAGACTCTTGCCGTTGAGGTTCAGACCCAACCTCATGGAAGCTAAGTGGGCTTGCCATATCCGAGAACGAACTGGTGCGTTTCTGTGAGCACACATATGCGGGGGCAGGTCGACAACACTATCGTACCCCTCGGAGCTCATACTGCAAAAGCAATGTTTTTGGATTATTTTACCGATGTCTTTCCCGCGAAAAGTGCCAATGTTTGATCAGCTCTTGAGGAGATGAGAGCTTTGCGATTCCAAAAAAAGCCACACAGTCGCCATCAGTGGACCCAGTGCTTTCCAACGATACCAAGTAAGTACTACTGGATAGCTTCCGCAAATTACACTAAGTGTTTTTTGGTGGCAGGTGGGGTATTATTTGTGCCTCTTCCCTCGCAAATTGCGTGTTAAATGACTTCAAACAGACAAATAGAAGGCAAGCGTATTCAAAACAAACAATGGAACATCTTATCGCTGTTTATGACTTTTTTAGGTACATGCAATGGCGTCATCGACAAAGATCTGGCAATGCCCAAAACGGTCAAAGCTGTAATAAAGCAGGTAACACCCAGTTTGGTGTCAGAAAACTGCAAATACGCCACCCTCTCCACACACAGACGTTGTTGAAAACTACGCCACGTTGGAGCTTTTGTGATTAAAAATGAGTAAAAACATCCCGCATTTGTTCAGCCCTTCAGTTTGAGGATTTTACTGTAATCAGACTACAGAAGATATGTTGCGGATCACACCGCTCATAGTATTTCCAGGAGCACTATTGCGGAAAGATATCTCCCTTTAACATATGCCTAGCAACGAATTTTCTATTTGTCGCGCATGTGGGAAAGCTTCACCAAAAAGTGGAACAGTATGTCAGTAGTAATAATATTACCCATTGCCTCATCCTCTTCCAATCCCATCCTGATGCCCCTGTACAGAGTAAATTCCTGGACGAATGTGATGAAGCTCTCACAAAGCGAGTACCATGGGTTTAGAAATAGTCTCTCTATCACATGAGAGCAAACATCCCTTGCACGTTCCTCCCAGGCACGGTTGCAAAACACGTTCATAGTCTCAATCCATCTCTCTGTGTTTCTTACAGCCTTAAGAAGACGGGCTAAGCTTTTCTGACATTTCTCCCACGCTTCTCGAGATTTCTCAACTTTCGAGACGTCACAATAGCCTTCATAAAGGTCATATCCGTCTAAAATGGTCCGACAGATTGGGCACTTAGAGCACCCCTATTGACTGAGTAAATGAGTAAGTTTTTAGGTTTTTGGAGATAGTTTTGCAACATGGCAACTCTATTGGGGGTGGCTATCTCCAAAAATTTGGCATTTTGAGTAAATCCGTATCCAAACTGTTGGCGGCGAAGGAGGTGGGCCGCGCGCGTAGGGGAGCGAGATGTTTGTTTTCAGAAGCGAGAAACGTTTATTGCAAGGGGAGGGTCGGTCCGGCGTTCTTCTGTTTTTCTTCTTGCGGTGTGTCGGCGCGCCCCTTTCTCTTATAGAGGGGCCGCCATCATCTTCCACTCCACAGGACCGCCGCTCTTCAAAGGGAGATTGTCCACGTGTACACCTGGCGAACACGTAGACTAATAAAATCACCTTTTGAAGGCTTTGGTCCTGGGGCCACTCCTGGGTATTGTAACCGTTGCGTACCTAATCACCAATTTTCTCGATACACGAGCGCGACATTCACAATTTTAATTACAAAATATG